TCTTCATGGTTAATGACAAAGCTGATTTTTCTTCCTCGTGCAGTTTTATTTAAATCAACTGTTTCAAACGCAATGTCTTCATTAAGAGTTTCTTCAAACTTTAGGGATATTGACGATGCTCCTTCAAAACGCATCCACCGGATTTTTAACTGATGAAAATGAAGTCATGTCCAGTTACAGTTTTCTTTCTATTTTGTATTGCTGCTTCCAAATTGTTGGTTCATTTAAATTATTATTCCCTTTTCATTTCAATAACTCTAAATCTTGGTTCTAAATCAGACCTTTCCGAAGGCTGATAATCTGATCCACTTTATTGAAATGGTTCAGACTTTGTTTCACTCTCATTCATTTTAATAAAACAAAGATTTATTATTTCTAAACCTCAACACACAGTGAGGCCGCTTACACGAATGCATTAGTTGTATTCACGCAGGTTCACACCATAGAAAAAGCATCACACGCACACACAACAATAAATTTTATGGACTTGATCCATTTAACTTCTGAAACGAATAAGCAAAACTTTCAGAAACTAAACGAAAACCGACTCTGGCCACTTTAATGCGTGAAGTGCGACGTGATTCACTCTGTAGCAAAACGCCCCAAGTACTCTAAGTAATTAGTTAGATGGTAAATGGCGAGCGGTATATTGATGGTGTTTATATACTTGGAGCTGCTATCAAAAATCTGTGGAAGGGTCTATTTGCAAGAGGGAGAAAAAAATTATTGAGGTGTACTAAATTATATTTTATTATACATAAAACCAAAAATCAGCCAAATATCTTCCAATCCTTTACATCCTTATTTATATCTATAAAATCAATTACTTCACATCCGTTCTAGATTGTTATTATTACGGACCACTGAAATATACCTACTGAATAAGAAACGCCCTATTCCTACTATTCCTCATAACTTATAAGTTAACTCATTTCAATACTTCCGATTCATTCCTAATAAACTACCCTTCACCTAATTATATAAATTCTTTAAAATCTTTACTGATTGCTTATGAAAAACCCAAAATAATTACCTATTTGTTTATCAATATAGGTATTACTAACTTATTCTAATAAAACCTTACAATAATTTCTACTTGAAAAATAAAATTCCTAATTCAAAAGTTCGGCACTTAAGATCATCAATGTCTCTTGATGAATAACAAATTGCAAATACACCTTTTCAATACGTCTAATGACTATCGTCAGAAGTTTTATCTGATGAAGGACAACAGTTCTTAAACTAGCCACTCCATTACATTGAATGATAATCGTCAACAATCTTGTTTCAAGCACAAGTTTCTTTTCGACACATCCGATTTCCTTTTCAACAGAACAAATTACTATCATAAGTTTCCTTTAACAACTTTCCAATATTTTAGAACAATTCTATTTTTCAAAATTTCCTATTCCATTTAATTAGAACAATTACTAATTCTCGCCATCCTGGCTAACATACAAAATTATTTAAATCCTTATTAGTTCGTTATTATAGCCCTTAATCTTCAATTGGACAATCCAGTTCAAACTTCTTTAATAATCCCTACTCAAATCGAAACTATTTATGTTCTGTTAAATGCATTATAAATTCCCTTCATACTTTCTTTGCCCAATTAAATTAGAATGACATTATATCTGAAGGCAATTAAAGTTATGCAATAATGTTTCATTTATAAAACACTCGAGTTATTAATTTTAATGCAATAAAGTTCCACAGTTAATTATAAAGTCAAAAGTTTTTCTAGTCAAAATCACTCAGTTTTTAGGCTTTAAAAGTCATTGGTAATTCACTTTTTATCTTTCAGAATCATTGATAAAAGTCAGAAAATTATTAGCCACTAAAGTACTTACAGTTTAACTTTTGCACACGTAAAATTACTTAATTAAATACTCAAAATTTTTTTTTTAGCTAGCACGCACATAAATGTTGACGAATTTAATTGTTCTTTCTTTCAAAACTTTCCGCTACCTTTTCAAAGACTGTTACCGAGGCCATGAAAAAAACTTTTCGCGAATTTTTACTCAGACTGGACAGGACTGCGAATCCATCTCTCAACAGACTACTCATCTGCTAACTGGCAACTGCCTACTGCTAACTCAAACCGCGCTATTTATATTAAATTGATCTCCCCAATTCTCTCTGTCCATGTCAATTAAGATGATGCAATTTCCTTGGAATTTTTATCATTTTTAGGCTAAAAATCGATTAATTATGTCGCAATATTCTGATTTATTGAGGTCAAAACGTTGGTGGTCGCGTCAAAAGGACGCGGCAATTTGGACGCGCGACAAAAGGACGCGGTAATTAGGACGCGCGACAAAAGGACGAGTACGACAATTGGACGCGTGGTTAATTAGACGTACGACATTTGGTCGCACGTTATTTGGACGCAAATAGAAAAAAATAAGTTTTAACTAAGTAAAGTATTTGTTTTTCTTTTGAATAATATAAAATAAAACACAATTATATAAAATAATACATAATACTATATTTGCAAATGGAAATTATAAGCAATCCCTCGTAAACATCCTAATATGTGCCGGTTTTCGTATTCGGAAACGAACTGTCTAATTCTTTTTGCCTTGTCTTTGTAAACTCTCTTACTTGGTGCTTGATACCCGCCTATCAATTGTTCCACTTTCAGATGGTTCAAACTTTCTTCCTTCTTCAAGGCATTAATAAACTTCCATATACTAGGATGTGCCGCACCAAGCACAGAAGAAAAACTATTATGCCATTCTTCAACTGAGTTGTTCGTCCGGGGTATGTCTTCCTCTACTAATTTAAAACAATTCCATAGACTTATTGTAAATAAAGGTGGTCTTCGATGTCCGCTTCTGTCGCAACGTCCTATCCATGTGTCTTCAAAATAATTGATAACAGGCAGCAGGACTTCCTCATGTTCTCTATAGAAAGCACTATCAAGCAGTTCTTCAAATGCAGCTACAACGTTATCACTTGGTACAAAAGCTAGCGCTGCCAATTTCCTCAATTTCAAAGCGAAATCTGAATTTTGTGTATACCGCACTTGTAATCCTGAACTTTGGATGTGTCTCCAAATACACTGAGTAAAATGGAAGAAGCAACCACGTATAACCACATCTGGGAATTCTTTCTGGATGGCACTTAGAGCCGATCTCTCAAAGTCTATCATAAAAGTCCTTGGTCGCAGTACTCGAAGTCCTGGTTTGAGCCGTTTCAATTCATGGAAGAGACGTCTATATGTTTCTTCAGTTTTACTTGGAAGTAGCGCATAGACGGTTGGAATGACATTACTGTATTGACTTCATGAATGGTATATAGTTGACTGAATAATCTTGGGGTGCATGTGAATGTTCCATCGGCGTACCAATTATCGCAATTCTCCATCAATTCCAAGTTCCTGTGTGTTGAAAATAATAGTATTCTCTGTTCACCAGGACCACTGTCAAATAGAAGGAAGGGTTCACCGACCCTATTCTGGGTAAATTCGACAGGAATGCGAAGATCAGTCAGATTTGTAGGATTGGCAGGCGCAACTTCTTGTTTTTGTCGCACTCGCTGTACTGTTCTTTTAATGCAAGAGACGGAGGGTAATAGAGGCGCTGCAGCCTCTGGAACTTGTTGGAAAATAGTGGCTACTATTGCCTGACTTGTCATTCCAACTCCTTTGGCCATCTCTTTCAGAGAATTAACAACGGTCTTTGATTCTAGTGTTGCAGCATCAACAACGTGATTATGAGGTGTACTTTTCAAAACTTCACTTTGCACTGTGTGTACTCTTCCGGGACATTTGCACTTGTTGTAGTTTGCACATTTCCATATGATCTTTTCAGCAATGGCACGTTCTTTTTTATGAATATAGCCGTTATACGCTAACATGTCGTTGCCTTTCTGACTTTTGACAAACTGATGAAGCGCCATTTCAAAGTAAGTCCAACAGATATCAGAAAATAACTGAAGAGTAGGAGCCTAGGGCGGATATTTATATATTATAGGGATTAACGTATACTTACATTTAATTAATACAGATTACTTCTAGAAATTCAGGTACCTACCTACTTATACACATAGATTGATAATGCAAATTATTATTTTTGCCGAAAATCTTTTAATACTCATTTAGTCATTTTAATGTCAAAAAGGTGAGTCCTAAGAATTCAGGTACTCAATTATGCAAATTATTATTGTTGCAGAAAATATTATAATCTTATGTTAATGTAGGTAATAATGCCAATTACTATTATGAGGGAACACAACATAATGTTACATAGTTCAGGTAACTTCTAAAAATTCAGGTACCTACCTACTTATACATATAGATTGATAATACAAATTATTTTTGCAGAAAATATTTTAATACTCATTTAGTCATTTTAATGTAAAAAAGGTGAGTCCTAAGAATTCAGGTACTCGAATATGCAAATTATTATTGTTGCGTCCAAATGACTTGCAACCAAATGTCGTGCGTCCAATTAACCACGCGTCCATTTGTCGTACTCGTCCTTTTGTCGCGCGTACAAATTGCCGCGTCCTTTTGTCGCACGTCCAAATTTCCACGTTCTTTTGTCGTATATTCCAAAACGTTATGGGTTCAAGAATGCCATAAATCAATCAATTTAATTAGGTACGCGATGGCCTCGCTAAAAAGTTCATTGGTCTGATGTTGGATGACATCACCCTGTCCTCGTTTTTATCATTTTTTAAGAATTTAATTTAGATGATGACTGGCTGGGTGTCGATTTACGTTAGCGTTAAATTGTTTCATTTTTAATTTATCGATACTGATTTAGAAATACCGGAATTAAGTTTTTGATTATTTGATAATTATTAAATGTTTACAGTAAAGACATTGTGATTTATGGGTCTATTTTCTCGGAATATTACAACTCATCTACTGAAATAAACATTGTTGAATATACCTTTAAACTGGACTTGATCCATTTCAGTTCTGAACCCCTCAAATATTGGTTCTAATTTTTCGCAAAAAAAAACATTACAGAATAATTTCTTTGTTGTAGATCATCTCCTGGATGGTTTGGGTCCAAAGCACTGGAAAGGCGCCAACGAACAGAAAATTTTGAGGCCCAAATTTTTGAGGCTTCAGCTCAAGGATTCCACAGTCAAAAACCTGAAACTGAAAAACTGCCCCTGCAATTGCGTTATGATACAATCTAGCAACACTGTTATTAGCCATATTAATATTGACAATTATGACGGATATCCAGGAGTCGCCGGTGCCAAGTACGCCAAAAACACTGATGGGTTTGATGTTGGAAGAAGTACTAATTTAAGAGTGGAAAACTCAGTTGTTGTCAATCAGGATGATTGTGTTGCTGTCAATAGTGGCAACAATATAATATTTGATAACTTGCATTGTAACGGCTCTCACGGTCTTAGTTTTTCAGTAAGTCGAATAGCAATTTGTCCAAGAATCCTTAAGATTTTTTTTATTTATTAAATTGTAGCTCAAAGACAGCGACGTTTATGATGTTCAATTCCTAAATTCGAAGGTTACGAACTCAAATAATGCGATTCATATAAAGACGAATAATGCTGGTGGAAGTGGACGCCTGAGGAACATTTTGTACAAAAATATTCAGTTCCTTGGTAAGTGCAGGTTGGCTTAGATTAATTGAATCCTGTTGAAATCTAGAGTCGGGGATCACTAGTGAAATAAATAAGTCTGAAACTTACTCACAATACGGGTTTTTGCAATTATTAGTACTTACCTACGAACATAAACTTTAGCCAAGAAAAAAATCTAGCAATTTTTCTAACAATTACAAACTGAATTTAATGAAATAGTAGGTACATGATGATATGTGATTTCTGACAGATGGTGCCACATAAGCTATTGCATTTTTAAGCCTATTACAGCTATTTAATCAACTGATTGGCTCTAGGCAGCCTAAGGAATCATTTTTCAGCACTCTTCTTGGGCTAATTAGGTCTTTCAAATCTTTTTTAACTGATAGGGTTCCAAGACGATAATTTACTTGCATTTTACTTTTTCAGGTATTGATAGATACGCAGTTTCCATCCAACAAAACTATCCGAGAGGTGATGCTAAAGCTAACATTCCCATTACCAACCTGACATTGGAAAACGTTAGTGGCAAGATGACTGGATCCAAAAGCATGGCTTTGCAGATTATTTGTGCTCATGGAGGCTGCAAAGATTGGAATTTCAAAAATGTGAAAGTGAACGGAGCTAAGCAGAAAAATACTTGCCAGGAAGTGCCCAGTGGTATTAAATGTTGATGTGAAATGTATATAGTGTAAATTTTAACACATTAAAATGATGTTAATCTGTCTCAATTTATTGATAAGCTCTACTTATTTCGTTTTGGTTACCCTCTAGCTGCTCAGATCAAAATTCAAATTTTTGAAAGGTGTGTATTCCTTTAAGTCGATGTTCAGTTTTTTTTGGCTCTAAGCAAAAAGTCTCCAGAGAAGAAGAAAAACGATGAAATCTCAAGCAAAATTGATAAGGCAAAAATCAGCGATATGATTGTATTACCAACTGCAACTATCCGAAAACACAAATTTTGTTTGTAATGTTTTAGCAAGCCATGTAAATTGACGTTTTTAATAATTGAATTTGTTTTGCATTGTAATGTCTGTTTTCGGTTAACAGTGTCAATTTTTTTAAATGAAAGATTCAAATGTGTATAGTTGTAAAGTAGGTATTCAGCCCTTTTACTTTTTGTTTGTTGTCTCGTAATAGGCATATACAGTGTGATTTTTTAAGTGTGCAACATATGGGAATTTTTTTTAGTAATAGCACAACCCAAATACAAACAAGGCCAAAAGTTGGTGCATGTCTAATAATCATATTAGGTGCACTTAGAATGGTTGCAAGTCAAACAGCATACAGGGTAGCTCAAACAATATCAAAGCTGGTACTGTAAAGTACCCTTATTTTAGAAAATTCAGCAAAATGTTATAGAGAAAAGTTGTTTGGAATTAAAAGTTATGCCTAAATACCAAAACATAGCCTCCTAAGATTTTTTTTATTTTCTTTCGAAAGAAATCTATTTTCTATATATTTTTTATTTTTTCTTTCCGCCCTTAAGACTCTCAAAAATTAATTAAAATCAAATCAATTTTACATAACTTTGGTCAAATTCAAGCATATTTGTAAAATTAACTTAGATTTTCAATTTTTTATGAAATCACAAAATTCATGTTTGTTGCAATGATATTCAACACAACTTTAAAATGTCGCAATTTTTTTTTAACAAGTTAAAACATTACTAATGATAATGGCCATATTAAAAAAACTCTCTTTAAGGTGCAAAAGTTTTATTTTATTTAAATAAATATTAGTAGAATTTTGATATTTTTTGAGCCACCCTGTATGATGTTTGACTTGCAACCATTCTAAGTGCACCTAATATGATTATCAGACATGCACCAACTTTTGGCCTTGTTTGTATTTTGATTGTGCTATTACCGTACCGTTGATTAAGGAAGTAGGGGAAGATGCCTAACCTTATGGAAAATAAAAAGACCAATAAATGTTTTCGTCGTTAGGAGCGCTCGCGTCATCCATCTCTTTTCCTAAACATGAATTAAATTTTTTAAATGTCAAAAAGATTTCTGTAAATGCATGTCTGCTATGTGAATGCGAAACGACAACACTGTAGCACCCGTCGTAGCACATGGTTGTATTCCTTTCAACAGTTTGAAACACTCGAGCTACTCGCTCCGGTGTTTAGTAGCCCCCGATTTGCAGGGAACAAATGCGTGGTACGATAAACACTTTTCGAAAGGAATAAGCGCGTGAAGCCCCGGAGCTGTTCCGGAGCGCCTCCTAGGTGTGAAAGGAATACAACTATAGTCCGACAAATACCATTTTAAAGCAGTGTTACCAGATTGGGGGATTTTCCCCCAAATTTGGGGGATTTTCAAGTAGATGGGGGAAAATCTGGGGGATAGTTTTTCTGGGGGATTTTTTGGGGGTAAGATTTGTAAGAATTTTCGCTATTGGGGGAAATCGGGTATATTTCAATGAATAAAACTAAAGTGAAAAATGTATTAAAACAACTGCGCCATCTATTTTTTCAATCAAGTACCAATAAAAAAGATACAGTTTGCTTCTTCTCCAGTGTTGCCAATTGGCGGATTTTAATCCGATTTGCGGATTTTTTTTGGACCATCGGATTTTTTTCGGATTTTGTAATTCAGCGTTTGGTGTAGTTTCGAGGTTATGACAGTGCGTTTTTATTGAAAAACAACTTCCAAAAACGCATTTATTAGGCAACTTTTCGCGAGGATAATCAAGCATAATCTGATTAGCTGAGTTATCTGATGTGTCAATTGTGTCATACTTCCCTAACTCTCAAACTCTCTCTCCATCAAATGCCTGCGAGTGACTCTTAGCAGGTTATACTGATGACGTCACCCGCAGACCTCGATGGAATGCTTGCGATTCAGGCTATGCTAGTGAGTTCATTTTTTTGTCGATTTTTCCCAGAATTTAATGGTGGGGAGCTTGGGGTTGTTCTCAGAAAAATATAAACAAATAAAAAAGTGGTAAGGGTATGAGTTTTATTTTAAAATATTCAACGAATTTGTCTTTTTTTTTTGCAAGTATGAGTCGAGAATAAATCTATATTTATTTGGGGGATTTTAGTTGACAAACAGTGATTTTTGGGGTATTTTTGAAATCCTTTGGGGTAAATTAGTTATAACCATCTGGCAACCCTGTTTTAAAGTCACGTGATATTGGTGGCAAAAAACGTATGTTCGTTGATATGTCGTTGATATCACCTACAAAAAGCTACTTGTGGTTAATTACTATTGAATTTTAAGATATGTTCCCACTAGCATTTTACAAACGCGTTTCTGAAGTAGTATTGACCAATCAAATGGGAATTTTAATACTTGCAATTGTTGCGAGACTCACTTTTGTCGCTTCTGCTGCCCCTTGTAATACATTCTGAATTTGAATTGGGTACCCGTTTTCTATTTGCTTCTTTTCGAGTTGGAAAAAGGTTAATATAGTCAACATTATTAGCCGTGTATGTTCGTTGTAGGTATCATTTTCGAAAATAACTTTGACAAACTAATTGATGACAGTGACGGATTTTATTTCAGAGCCGCTTCAGTATGGGAGTGTGACGCCCGGAGCTACTCGGGGCGTTGAGCCCCCGAGCTGTACGTACGCGTCAACCTATCAGCTGTCACATCCGTGGGTGGCTATTTATCTATTTATTTCTTGTTATATCTCAAGATTGAACATTTTAAAAAATATAGTTTTGATTCTCTTTCTTTTTTGATAAATAAAAAAACAAACTGCACAAACAAACAGATAATTATTTTTAAAATTTGACATATTTGACACTAAGACTGGCGTCTCACGCCATGATACTGGAACGGTACAAATCTAGTGCGTGGCGCCCCCGAGGTGCTCTAGAGCGCGCCAGAGCGCGCCAATGTGCATACTGGAAAGCGGCTCAGGTAAGAATTTTATGAACAATAATTAGACACCAATTTTTTTGTCAATTTTACTATCACCGCTGTTTGAGATGTATTCAACAAGGATAGAGAAAAATCACGTGACTTTAAAATGGTATTTGTTGGACTTTAGTACCGCAAGCACTTCATCGATTGCTAGGCTGAGTTCGGCTTTACACTCGGTGAACTCCGAACGCGTTCGAAACGATAAGACCCAGTTCGTTTTAGCTCTCAGAGTGTTCTCTTTTGCGTTCGGGTTACAATCGAGCCCGTACCCTGAGTTCGCTCTCTTTTCCCTGGGATGGATGGATGGAAAACCAGAGAAATTAGTGTCACTTTTGAAAAATGATAACCTAAAATATTTAAAAAAAAAAAAAATTCGGTTTGCGTTGCGTTTCCGTTTTTTTTCTCCGATTTTTTAACTTTTATTTTAGGTCCATTACTAATTTACCTACTCGTTTATTAGTAAAACAAAATTAATATCGAAGCAAAAGCAAAAAAGCAATTTTTTCTTTAACTGACTAGCACAGCTTGAATCGCAAGCATTCCATCGAGGTCTGCGGGTGACGTCATCGTTCCTTGCCTTCGGTATTGTGCTCAAAGAGTAGAGCGTGCTGAGCGGAGCCATAATCACGTAACCAGCGAGCGAACAGAGCAGTTGAACGCTGTATCAGAGTGCCCGAAATTTTAATAAACGAACGCGAATGAGCCTGCACCGAGTACACTTTTTAAATAAACGAACGGTAAATTCAAGCTCGGAGAACTCAGATCAAAATACCGAACGCACGGATTATAGGCTACTTATAATGACCTCACTCGCAGGCCCAGAATTTCATGGAGAGGGAGTAGGGAAGTATGACACAATTGACACATCACATAACCCAGCATACTCGACTATACTTGATTATCCTCGCGAAAAATTGCCTAATAAACCGATATGTTTTTAAAAGAAAAAAATGGTACGCCCCTAGAGTTTTCGACAAATTGAAAATTATTTTCTGATTCATTGCCTAATTTCCCACAAAAAAGGTGTCCAGAGTTTTTCTTGTTCTATGTTAAACGTCACGAGATAAAAAATAAAAATCAATGTGTTATTGGATACACCACTCTGTTGAAAAAATAAGAGTCGCTCTAGGTCCGGTCCTGGAAAAGTGGAACTCAAACGTATTTTTTAGAAAGACGCTTGAAAAAATCGCAAACACTCTCCGAAAATTTGAACAAAATCGCTAAAGGCATTTTGAATCTAGTCTAAATTTTCCGAAAATCTCAACACTGTATTTTTTTAACGAGACGTTTGAGGACACATGTACCTTTGCAAAGAGTGATTGTCCTATTGGTACTATCATAACAAAATGCTCACTTATTTCGGACCCTGGAGTGCGTTTAGAAATAGAGTGTGAAGGTAGAGTAGTTGTTTGTCAGAGTGATCTGACGTCATCACTTAGAGTGCACTCTGGGTGCGCCTTTTCTGAACGTAATTGGGGTGTTGCACTAAATGTCAACGTCAAACCCGGTAAAAACCTCGGGGCATTTTTCAACCCAGTCCCTGAGTGGGCTTATTTGGGCACACTCTTGGCACGTCAACTCTCGATTTCTGAACGATTCCAGCGTAAAGCCTAGTACTCATAACTGCGAAATTCGCACTTTTTTGACATTGCATTGGCAATTTGACGTTTGATACATGCATAAAACATCAAAATGTCGACGCAATGTCAAAAAAGTGCGAATTTCGCAGTTATGAGTACTAGGCTTAACGCTCCGAGTAATTTCCATTGCACTGGTTATATCGGGTCTTCAAAAAAAAAACCAATCGAAGATTGCTTTGATTACGGAAACGTACGTCGCATTACTGTTTCTTTATTGGTCAGGATTTTTGACATGACATTTTGACATTAAAGTTCATTGACAAATTAAAGAAAAATATTGCTAAGACATACGTTTAAGGGCCGAATTTATAGTCGCTCCTTGAGGTTTCCT